CATCAGAACAGTCGAAACGAATGCAACAACAAAATATGATCCCACTGTATCTTGAAGTAAAATATTCAATGAAAGGACATAACATAATACATTAATGGAAGGACTAACCAGCAGCCATGACATAAACGACTATAAATAGATAAATAAATAAGTTAATTAAACGATAGAGGTATAGAACGTGACTAGAAACGAGATATCAGAAATTAGTAATATCCTGAGCTGCAAACAAGTGCTTCACGGTTCTTTATAATTCGCGGCGGTAATGATCGATAAGCCTGGCCGTCGCAGTCACATGGCATCGTCAAAACATTGCAGACTACGCCCACACCTAAAACCAGGATACGCTGTTAAAATGCCTAGTGAAATGGTAAAGAAGGCCATAAAGCCATACAGAAAATTGTGCCAAAATGAATTAACATTCAAATGCAGGTAGCATAAAAGTTCGAGAACACGCCCTTTACATTTATAGTCGCAAAAATCGACTGAACGGTTAAAGTCAATTTAAAGAGTCAACATAAATGAACACCGTTCCATATCGACCACAGGAATTATACCGACTGTTCGACAAGGCTTCTCTGAAAATAAGCACTGCCCTACAAAAGTGTTTAAAAGCTGCGAATACAGCGGATATCACAATACAGGACTTGTTCAAATTAAATCGTTTTTAAGTTGTGTAGAAAAGTACAAGCCATCAGCGGCTAATCGCGAATGCTTACCCTTAACGTAGTGTCCCATGACGCAGTGCAGAACGCTGTACCGTCAGGTGAAGTTCTTAAGCAAGAAACACGATTTTCGTGTCCATACAGAATGCTAATCCGACAGCACTTAAGTACATCCCAAATAGCAATCGTGTAGTCACCGTATCCGGCCATCATCAGTCGTCCTAATAGACAAAAAAACATTATCCTTAAAATACGATGAAGACAGAGCAGCTTACCGCTCGCAGAAAAATCCACGCCGTTGATGGGAAACAAAATGCTCGCCTTGAAATATTCGCTCACTTGTCGATCCGCGCGTA